AACTCGGTCAATTACTTTTTTTTTTTTTAATTCTTATCATTTTACAAAAGGAAAAAAAAAAAGTTTTTACCTTGTTAAAAAAAAAAATTTTCTTTTTTCTTTTTTTTTTTTTTTTAAATAACAAACTCTGAAAATTATTATTATTATTATTATTATTATTATTATTATTATTATTATTATTATTATTATTAATTTAATTTGAAATAAAAAGCCAAAAGCAACGAAGGAAAGAAAAGAAATCAAAAAATAATAATGATGATAATAATTTTTTTTTTTCTTGTAAAAACAAATATTTATTTTATTTGATTTTCATTTTATTTTTATTGACTTATTTATTTCCGGTTCATTGAATATTTTCCTCCTTCTTTTTTTTTTTTTTACTTTCCAATCAATTATTATTATTATTATTATTATTATTATTATTTTTATTAATCAGGAAAAATGAGAAACGCGAAAAAAAATAAAAATAAATAAATAAATGAAATAAAATAAAATAATTTTATTTTTGTTGTGTGTGTAAAAAAAAAAAATGTCGGTAAATAAAATAAATGAAAAATAAATCGACGACGGTGGTGGTGGTGGATGTGAAGAGGGAGGAAAAGAGGGAGATAAGGGGTGAAGGGATGAGAGCGTAGATAAAAAATTACGTTAGAGAAATATATAGAGAAAGTGAGAAGAGAGAGAAAAAGAGAAAGAGAAGAACAAAGGGAGAAAGTGAGAGAGAAGGAGAAAGAGGGGAAGAGAGAGAGAGAGAAAGAAGGAGAAAAAGAGAAGAAGAAAGAGAGAAAGAGGGAAAGAAAGAGAGAAGAAGAAAGAAGGAAAAAAGAGAAAGAACGAAAGAAGGGAGAGAGAAGAAGAAAGGGGGAAAGAAAGAGAGAGAGAAAGGAAGAGAATAAAAGAAAAAGAGTGAGAGTGAGAAAGGAAAAGAATAAAAGAAAAAGAGTGAGAGAGAGAGAGAGAAAGAGAAACAGTGATGCCAAATTAAAAAAATTAAAATAAATTTTTCCGTTTAAAAACACACAATAAAATAATAAAAAAAAATAAAAAAATTCTAATATTTTTCTCTCTTTCTTTTGCCTTTCTGTATCTGTTTTCCTCTCTCTCTCTCTCTCTCTCTCTCTCTCTCTTTTTACATTTCTATTCCTTTTTAGCTCTCTCTCTCTTTACTTTTCTGTACCTTTTTCGCTGTATCTCTTTCTCTTCCCTTACTTTTTCGTATCTCTTTCGCTTTCTCTGTCCCTCACTCTTTTATCTTTCTCTATATTTCATTCGCTCTCTCTCTCTTTTTGTCATACGGGCCAAAGACAATGTTAATATTTGAATGGATGTAAATAATCATTTCCATGGAATAAACGATTGACTCGATTGTGGAATTTTCACTGGAAAATTTTAATTTTTTATCTCTCTCCACAAAAACTCTCGCCTAATATTTACTTAACAGAAAAGTTGTCATCCCTTTTTTTTTTTTTTTTTTTTTTCATTTCACACCAATTCCGACATTTTAAATTTCCACACATGCCACATTCCCATTAACGCGTTTCACCATTTTTTTTTTTTTTTTCAAAAACCGCCATTTTTATTCCGTTGAAAAAAAAAAAAACAAATGATCAATTTTTCCTTATTGATAAATCGATATTATTATTATTATTACGAAAAGAGATTTTGTAAATGATTTAATAAATTATTACATTTTAACGTTTTCGAATATTTTAAGTTGGCAACAATTTCAAAAAGACCGAATATAAAGAGAAGAATCGAATCGTTAAATGTGAAATAGTCAAACCTGAGAAAAATTCCAGGCATAATTTTTTCTTTTATTTTATTGATAAGAAAATAATTTTAAAGTTTTTTTTTTTTTTTGCTGGAAAATTAAAAAAAATTTCCGGTGTCCGACCGGAAATGGCGGAATATTTATCGCCGGAAGAAAATTTTGTTGGTGGTAATATAAAATTTTTAATCTGACAATGGCGGTTGTTGTTCTTTCGAAAACTTCTGCTGAGTTAACCGGAATTTAAAATTTTTTTTATAAAAGGTCATTTTCTCTCTTAGACAGTTTCCACCGGTTTTTTAACGAAAAAGATAGAATCGGATGTGAGGTGAGGTTAGGCACGAAGGTTTACGGACGACGTCCTGTCGTCTGCTCTTCCTAAATACAATATCCGTTATACGAACAAACAAAAACGAAAAATCTTTGAGCGGAATTCTTCGGTCGAAACAGAAAAAAAAAAAATTTTCTTTTTCCCATCAAAATGAATTTTCCTAGCAGACGACATAACGATAATAATGATTTAAATCATTCAGTTATTAAAGGTGAGAGTGTAGGTGACAGATAAAAAGGAATTTCCGTGATCGACGCGAACTGAAATTTTTTTTTTTCACGACGCGTGACGTCATTTTAATCAAAAAACGGTTTTACAACGTTGCCAAATCAAAAACGTTTATTTTGCAAATTTTAGCACTCCCGGAAAACAAAAACAATTGATTTACTTTTAACATTGTTTTACTTAAATAATTTTTTTTGACGCGCACACACTCAACTATGATGATAATAATGATTATGATGACAATATTGATAATGATATTAATAATGATAATGATATTAATAATAATTTAT